AGTGTCAAGAATCAACTCAGAGAGCACTTGATCCTCAATGCTGGATCAAGGGGAGCTACACCCGCGCTGGGTGCTCCAACGAGGACTAGTGGGGAGTGGCGATTCTGATACTCTCGCAAAACATCGCCGCTGCTTCTTCTCTCTCTTTACTTCGAGCAATTACTTTGAGTATTTACTTTAAGCAATTCAATACTTGTCTTTACATTCATAGAATTGCCATGCTAGAGTAAGTTTGGAACATAGGTTGCAAGTCTTTTGTGCGTTAGTTTGATAGAAACACTTTTCTAGGAACAAGGGGTTAATTGGGCTATCCGTAGGATTTGATTATTGCAAGAAAATTTAGAATTAGCCTAATTCACCCCCCTCCTCTTGGGCATCTTGATCATTTCAATTGGTATCGGAGTCTCATGCTCACGTTTTTAAGCTTAATCGCTTAGAGCAAGATGTCTCACGGGGATGGACCTCCTCCTATCTTCGAGGGGGGTGATTTTCCATATTGAAAAATTCGCATGGAGGCATACCTAGAAGCTCTAGACGTTGGAATACTTAGAGCCGCCTCTCATGGGTTCCCAAGACCTAGGAATCCCGCACAACTTCAAGGTGATGAAGTGAACTATGAAAAATGGAATGCAAAGGCTCGAAACACCATCTTTAGAGGCCTTTGCAAAGATGTGTTCAACCGCGTAAGGAACCACAAAGACGCCCATGCTCAATGGTCGGATGTTTGTGCGCTCCATGAGGGAACCAAGAGTGAGCGTGAGGAACGCTATCATCTTGTGATTAAAAAGCTAAATTCATTTGAGATGCTTCCCAAAGAATGTGCTAATGAGATGTATTCACGTTTGAATGTTCTTGTAGAGGAAGTCAATGGGCTTGGACTTACTCAAATGTCACCATCCGACGTTGTGAGAAAGATCTTGAGTGTCCTCCACATTGACAAATATGGGCATATTGTGACCGTGCTACACCAAGGTGATCTTTCCACCGCTACACCGATACAAATCTTGGGAAAGATCAATGCTCATGAGATGTACGTGCACATCACGCCACAAGATGGCTCATCCTCAAACAAGAAGAAAGACAAAGACTTAGCATTCAAAGCTAGCCAAGAGAAGGGCAAGGCAAGACTTGAATATGAAAGCTCAAGTGAAGATAAAGTTGATGAAGAAAGTCTTGCTCTCATGGTGAAGAAGACCACCAAGATGCTAAAGAAGCTAAACAAGAGTGGCATCAAGTTTGACGGCAAGAAGAAGAAGTTCTTCACTAGCTCAAGAAGAAAGTCAATCTCCGAGATGGATTGCTACAATTGTGGCGAACTTAGCCATCTAGCTCATCAATGCACAAAGCCCAAGAAAGACAAGTTCAAGAACAAGAACAAGGGCAAGAAAGATGACTCAAGTAATGAAGATGAAGATGAGAAGAAAAAGAACAAGCCATACAAGAAGAGAGATGGCAAGAAGAGGGACTTCTACAAGAAGAAGAAGAAGAGTGGAAAGGCCTACATTGTCGGTGATTGGCTCACGGACATTGATTCATCAAGTAGATCATCCGATGATGATAGTGACAATGAGAAGGTGGCCGCCATTGCTATTGATTTTGCATCTTCACCGCCACCATCGCCATCATCCTCTACACACCTATGCCTTATGGCCAAGGGTGAACGCAAGATAACTAAGAATGATGATAGTAGTGATGATGAGCATGCTAGTGATGATGATAGCAATAGCGATGATGATGATTCACCTACATATGATGATCTTGTCAAAATACTAAGAAAATACACGAAGATCATTAGAAAGAGTAGAGCTATAAATGAAAAGCTTGATGCTAAAAATGATTCACTCTTAGCTAAGTGCGATACATTGGAAAAGGCTAATGATGAGCTTAGAGAAACTAATGATGCTATATCATCCAAACTCAAGGAGCTCAAATCTTCTAAGAAAGAGCTTAAAGATAAACATGATAAACTTGAGTGGGTGTACAATGAGCTCATCACTAGTCACAACAAACTAAAAGATGAGTATACAACTCTTAAGATTAATCATGATACTCTTGTCATTGCTCAAGAATTCCTACCAAATGAGCCACATGATGCTACTAACCATGTTGTTAAGATTGATATAGCTACATCATGTGATGATTTGATTGATGAAAGCATTGAGCAAGGATCTAGTGGCAAAGGCAAGCAAGTGGTTGAGTGCAATGACTATGATGAATATGTCAAGCTCAAGAACACAAATGAGAAGCTCATGAAAGATCTTGAAGAAATGAAAAGCCACAACACCATTGTGCTAGAAACTCTTGATCATGACAAAGAGTTGATTCTTGAGAATGAGAAGCTCAAAGAAGAAAACAAGAAGCTCAAAGAGAGAGAAGAACGCGGCGATGTTTTGCCGAGGTATTGGAGAGTCGCCACTCCCCACTAGTCCTCGTTGGAGCACCCGCGCAAGGGTGTAGCTCCCCCTTGATCCGCGCAAGGATCAAGTGCTCTCTACGGGTTGATTCTTCGACACTCTGTCGCGGCGAATCACCCAAAGCCGTTCACAATTTGAGTTGGGTCACCCACAAGCTCCGCCGGGTGATCACCAAGCTCCCAATCACCACCAAGCCGTCTAGGTGATGGCGATCACCAAGAGTAACAAGCACGAACTCTCACTTGACCACGCAAAGCCTAATGAGAAGATGGATGCACACTTGACTACTCTTGATTCACTAATGAGGTTTCACTCTTGGATTCTCAAATCACAAACACCTTACTAGGACCTTGCTCTTCTTGGCACTCACAAACGTGTTTCTCAGCTGTTGGAATGAGCAAAAGTAACTCCACACACAAGTGGAGCTTCTATTTATAAGGCAGCCTGAAAAACGAACCGTTATGTGCCTCTGCGGGGTGATCGGACGCTCCGATCATGTTGACCGGACGCTCCGGTCAGTTCAACCCGCGAACCAGTGAAAATGAGTCGATCGGACGCGGACAGGGTCCGGTCACCACTGACCGGACGCATCCGGTCGCATTAAACCCTTACTGGAACCTTATTGTACTCGACCGGACGCTGAACCCCCAGGGTCCGGTCAGTACTTACCGGACGCGTCCGGTCGCAGATTCTCTTCTCTAGAACCTTACTGGAGTCGACCGGACGCTGCCTCTCAGCGTCCAGTCACTTGACCACTCCAGCGTCCGGTCGCACCGAACGCAGTCCCTTGATCAAATGAACTGACCGGACCCTGCGGCCAGCGTCCGGTCGCACCGGGGCCAGCGTCCGGTCAGTATTTGACCCTCCATTCACCTTCAACTCTCGATCATGTGTGAATGAAGTTTGCTCCATTGGATCTTAGGCATATGTAGGAGCTACCTAGAGCTAGTTTAAACAAGTGTGCACCATACCTAACTCACTAGACTCACCTAGGTTAAGCTACCCGTCCATACCCCCATTAATTGTACGGCCAAAGGAAAAACAAAGTCCTAAACTACTCCAAGTGTCACTCCAACTCCAATCGACACTTAGAACTAGTCATCCTTAACCTTGTCGTCCATCATTTGAAAACCGAAACGATTTCCATCGTAGGGGCATGACCACCTCGATTGCCCAATCGATCACCATTACCATGACCTAACTTAATTGCCTCTGCAAAACACACGTTAGTCATAGTAATCTTGTATTGTCATTAATCACCGAAACCCAACAAGGGGCCTAGATGCTTTCAATGGGGAATCCTTAGTGGCCCTAACTTGTTAGACGAACCTTTGAAAGGTTTTATAGTGAACCCTGCCGACCTTCCTAGGTTGTGGGTTAAGAGGCTAGCTAACTCAGGCGAAAGGGTAAATCACGACTCACAGTGAAAGTGTACAACCTCTGCAGAGTGTAAAACTGGTATATCTGCCATACTCACGGTCACGAGCGGCCTTAGAACCCTTATGGAATAGATGATCATTAATGGTTAATGATGATGAACACTAATGATACTAATGATAAAGAAACTCAATAATGATTATTGTTTATGCTATTCATTATTTATGTTTACCTGATCATGTGTTTACATGGGCTTATGATAAACATGTTGCTACTCAATTGCTTAAAATTGTGACTCACTAAAAGCTAATCGCAGTTAAACTAGTGTCAGTCTTTTGAGCCTCATGAGCCTCATGTTATATTTGTTGAGTACGACATGTACTTACGCTTGCTTTACTTTTTAAATCTTTGGAAAAATCCCGGATGGGTACCAGATTGCTAGAGGTTGAAGGAATTAAGCTTGTGATCAACCAGTCAGTTGTCCCTGTGGAATTGGAGTCTTCACCCGAAGATCGGAGTTATCTTTCTGCTGTTTGCTGTCTAAGGTTATATCCTTTATATTAGTGCGTTATATATTGAGCATTGTCTTTTGAGATTACCCTTATTTGTAGCTACATGTGAGATTTAACTTTATGAGTTCACATATAGTGTGAATCTGGTTTTATCATTAAAACCGGGTGCTACACCCCCACCACTGCCAAACTTTCTCATCTTCCCCAACAATAGAGAACAAAATTTCAGAAAGTACATAATAGAAATATAACTGAAGACCGTACAAGTTAACTCATCATGCGTAAATCACGTCATGGATTTATGTTACTAAACAACATAGTGTGAAGGACAGTCTCAGTTGTGATTTCTACACAGTTCCATGGGCATCTCAGCTCCAATGCAACCTTGCTCTGCATCGAGACTGCAAATGTATTATCTAATATCATACAGTACATCTGATCCCGAACAACGGGGCAACATTCAGACTTCAGAACCCCATTTGTTCAGAAGCAACTTTTATCACCAGACTTTTCTATTTCCTTTTTTGGCGACCACATATTTATCGTTTTTTAGTACAGCCGCTTATGTAGATTATTCGTGCCATGTACACAGTTGTGCAAAGAGAACAAGATAAGAGTTTTTCAGGAAGCCAAAACACGCCACATCTATTTCTATATGTTGGGTTGGCTGGCCTCACTTGTTGATGAAGAGACACCCTTCTGGATACTCTCGACCAGCTCTTTCTTTGCCTTCTCCAGACCAGCTCTGCATGACAGTGATGTGTGAATGTGTGAAGAAAACGAAGTGATGCAGGTCAGTAGAGCTCTAGGATATCAATAACAATTGATACGGCATAATATATAAATGATATGGAATAATGGCATTCAACGATACACACTCTTATCATCCTGTGTGTTTGATGATTCATCCTCAGCCTACCTCAGTACTAACAGGCTGTGAAGAATAATGTGACCATGTATTTATATGCAAACAAAAAGTCATACAATTTCACACTAGTTATGTTCCTTCAGGGTTGTTTGTGCAGGAACACGTATGGCTTCATACATGACGCATTCATGATTTCTCCTGTGAACTGTATTCTGGCAAATGAAACATTTGTGACCAACAGGTCATCAGTAATAACTACTACAACCTGGCAGATCCAAATCATGTCGGGTGACATGAGTGGGCAAGATGAACCTGTTGTTCTAGACGAAAAGCAGAACAAACTAAATTTGCTGAGATATACTTCAATAGAAAGCATGTGTGACATGGGTGTTGAATCATGCAGAGCATGCAACTTTCAATTCATAACAAGAACCTGAGTTGCAAGTTCGAGTATGGAATACAGACCTCTCAAACTCATTTAATGGTCCAAGTGGTAGGATCTCCTCAATGCCACATCGCCCTAACCGCACTTTGGATGCAAAGAAAGGCAACTCTGTGACCTTCAACCACAAGACAAGGAAAACAGAATTCACAAATCAATAATTTAGGTCAACAAAAAGGTCAATCAAAGCAGAACCGGAATGATGGTTTTGAACTGTATACAAGAAAGAAAAGAAACCTGAGAAGCTACATAAGAGCACTCTACTATCCCAGCATCACCACGCAATCCTCTCAGGCAAGCATCTGCAAATTTGGCAGCTGCATAGGCCTGCAAAGGTAGTATTAGTGTTAACTGAATCAACATTTGAAACTTACACATTATGGACATTGATGTGCATACAAGATACCAACCATTGAAAGAGTTGCTGATCCTGCTCCAGCTTTAGCCTGAAACATACCAATAATAAGCAAAAAAATGAATTTTTTTATGTAGCAGAGCAATCCAGAGTTCAGAAAAAATAACAAGCACAAGACCTTCACTTAACAAAACATATGTAAATAACAAATACCAAAACCTGGTATCTTATATTGCTATGAAAGTGATAGGAAGGTTTTGTTACACATAAACAGGCACATAGTAATAGACTCTTGTTGTCAGGATCAAGATGGAACAATTACGCAAATATGTGCCTAGTGTGTCTCTTATTTAACATAGTGATTGTCCATGAACTGGCACAAACGTTTTACTAGTGATCTAACTCTTATTCTCAAAATTAAGCATGCCGATTATTTTTCTGCTCAGTTCAGCCAAACAAATGAAATCAGTGTGCTGTAATTGGACGCAGAACTGAAGCAACATACATAGCAGAGAAACTGTAAAAGGGATTTGTGGAACTGACTTTTCTTCCCTCATCGTGCATAAGAGATGCAGCATAGGACTTAGGAGTATTAGTAGACTGTAAGGAAAAGTATACCTCGACTACTTCTGTCCCACCATTCTGTATGCGAGAAGTGAGGTATTTAACCTCTTCTGAGGTGAATGAGCAGGAAGGATTCACCTATTGAAAAAGACAGAGCATAAAAAATAAATGAAGTGTTACTGATTTTCTATTATTTCCATCATACAAAGTGTACATGGTTCAGAATTTCGTAGAAATTGAAGTTTGAAAATACTCCTGACCTGCGAAAGGAGTGGTAGTATCGTAAGTCCTGCATGCCCACCGATAACTGGAACATTTACCTCTCTGGGGTCAAGTCCAAGAACCTCTCCCTGTAAACAGAAAATGAATGAATTTTAAGCCCATGAAGAAATAAAATATTGTATAACGTATCATGGCAAACCCTATTGATATACATACCACAAAAGTATTTGCTCTCACTACATCAAGAGTGGTCACACCCAAAAGACGCTTAGGGTCATAAGTTCCAGCTTTCTTGAAAACTTCAGCAGCAATTGGAACGGTAGAGTTGACAGGATTACTGATCACATTCACAATTGCATTGGGGCAGCATTTTGCAATTCCTTCACACAGGGTACGGACTATTCCAGCATTTATGTTGAACAAATCATCCCTTGTCATCCCAGGTTTCCGAGGGACACCAGCAGGAATTATGACAAGATCCATTCCAGTCAGGGCATTTTCCAACTGTGGCTGGCCCAAGAAGCCACGCACCTGTAGAATTTGGAGGTTAGCATAATTACACCAAAAGATAAAAAATAGACATAATGGTGAACAAGATGAATAATTTTATGTTTACATGACACAGAACAGGGTGATCAAGGGTATCCAGGGGGCCGGCTGGCAGTGCCGTTTGCTAAACCCAGCAGCAGGAAGAAGGGAACTGGTGCGATCAGTCCTAAGCGCTATCCCAATATATAAGCTAGCTGACGTCGATCAAGGCACCAAAACAACTACTCGAAGACTTGGATAAGGTACGAAGGCGCTTCCTTTGGGTGGGGGATGCCGAGATCACAGGGGGAAAGTGCAAAGTCGGCTGGCCTTTGGTAACCAGACCGGTGCAATTTGGAGGCCTCAGCATACTTGGACCTTGAAAGGTTTAGTAGAGCTTTACGATTGTGATGGCTATGGATAGCATGGAGCAACACGCAGAGACCATGGGTGGGAATGAAGCTCCCAGTGGATGAGATGGACATCGCCCTCTTTACTGCAGCCACATGAGTGACAGTCCACGATGGAAGGAAAGCCTTCTTCTCGTTCTCTAGCTGGATTGATGGGCGGTCACCCGCATCCCTCTTCCCACTGATTTGCCGACATAGCAGACAGAAGAACAGATCGGTGTGAGAAGCAGTGCTCAGTGGTAAGTGGATCAGCGACATTGCATACAACCTGAGTGCAGGGATCCTAAAGGATTTTTTTCGAATTGTGGCAACTCATTCATTCGCTACACCTGGAGTTTACAAACGAACACGAGGACCAGATCATCTGGACACTGGAAAGCTCCGGGGAATATTCTGCAAACTCGGCATACGCAATCCAGTTCAGTGGACAAGTCATCTCCAACTTTCCAAAACTTATCTGGAAGGCTTGGGCCACACCACGTTGTAAATTCTTCCTGTGGCTGCTCCTACAGGACCAAGTGTGGGCAGCAGCCAGGCTACAGCCAAGGGGATGGAAGAATAATTACTTCTGCGCGCTATGTGAAAGGAGCCTGGAGACCGCCATTCACCTTTTCATAGAATGTCCTTATGCGAACAGAGTATGGTGCCTCGTTGCAACGTGGAGCAGCTGCGCAAACCTTCAGCCTTCCTCCTGGACCGAGCAGAGCGACATGGAGGAGTGGTTCATGGAGATGACTGCCATGGGCACCAATGCGGCACACTCATTAGCCATCCTGACCCTATGGCACATATGGAAGGAGAGAAACGCTAGAGTTTTCAATGGTAACAGGAGCGCAGAACAGGCTGTGTTCACAAGGATTAAGGATGAGTGTTCAGATTGGGTTTCAGCGGGGGGAGGGGTACTTAGTTACCTAAGGATTGCTCCAAATTCTATGAGTAATTAGCATAGATGAATCCGGGTATCTCATACGGCGGTCTGCTGTATGAGATAGCGCCTCTTGCGCATGTAAGATTGCAACTCCATATCTTGCTTATTAATATAACGCGGGGCAACCGAATCTTTAAAAAAAAAAAGGGTATCCAGGGAGCTCACATAACCGGAAGCCAACAAAAATTAAACTCTTATATAGGAAAACTGAAAGTAACCAAGTAGGCCAAAGTTGTTTTTGTTTTGAGCTTTGTCCACAAGTATCAGTGAGTGGTCAGACATTAAAAAAGAATTCTTCAATGGTTATCTGAAGAAATCTGGGTAAAAAATTTGTAACTATATTTCACAGGGGAACTCCTATTTTTTTCCCCAAGCATTCCAGTGACAAAATTTAGTACTTCAGAATGAGTCTTTAAGTACAGTAGGCAGTAGCTAATACACGTTTGCAGATGCAGGTTGCAGCACTTTATGTCCTCTAGATATGACCTAAGAGTCCAGATGGGAACCAAGTGCAGTAGAGGTCTACTATCAACTAGCTGCAACAGTAATCTATAGTTCAATTCTTCAGAATCAACATTCAAAAATACCATGAAGTGATTTCAGATGAAGTTGAGCATACCACAGCACCAGTGTTCATGTGGCTGATGTCAGCTGTGACACCAGGTGCGTTGACGACATCATATAGATGGAGCACCGAAACAAGAGGGTTCATCTTCATCAATAGCGCGAGTGGCTGCCCGATCCCACCTGCCGCACCCAAGATCGCGACTTTGAAGCCTGGCGCCGCACCTTTTGCACGGCAATTGGATCCCCTCAGGAGGGGAACATCCTCCACCTTCAAAACAAAGCAACAGGAGAAATATTAGCAGATATGAAAAGTATTTTATTCTGAAGAAGGTAGAAAACTTTTAGCTAGCATATGTCAGATGTGATCATCAGTGTAGTGTGACTATTTTATTCTGAAGAAATGTAGAAACTTGTAGCTAGCATGTCAGATATGATCATCAGTGACTAATTTGAACAACAACAACAACAACAAAGCCTTTAAGTCCCAAACAAGTTGGGGTAGGCTAATTTGAACAAAATTCTAAATTCCCTAGACAGGTCGTTGGCAATCAATATAAAAGGTTCCAAAAAGGATGAGGAGGAAGCTTTGTGTTCGTCACCGGATTCAGGTGGTGTTCTGTTAAAACCATGTCACATGTGGTTTACAAGGTAGCCATCGTCATTCAACTATCAGAAAGTAAGAATAAATCCTATAATTGTTAGGTACTCCTTGCTGAGAGACTCAAACGGATTCCACTATTTTTCAGAATTGCACACATTTGGGCGCACGAACTACTTTCCAGCTGGAATTCAGTAATGCGGGAGCAATGCTACCACCCCGCACAATGCAGTGAATATCTGTGCTGTTCGGTCAACATTTAGCAGTAGATACATTGAGGAACAAGAATTGAATTTGAATCAGTACCCTGAGCAGCAAATTTACTACCATTGTACTCTCCAAAAAAAATTCAGCTTTGGCATAGACAAAAACAGAGTAGCGGTTGGTACTGGTAGGCATCACAACCCGATCGACGATCCAAGACTGGTGGCACTGCAAGTCAAAATGTTAATACGGCTCCCATCCCATCCGGACCAAAGGAGCCGCCTTTGATGCCAAGGTCCCAGCTTTGGGGGAGCCGGCGCTGCGGGGGAGGACCCCCTTGACCTTTGGGGCTCGAATTCACAGCGGCAGCTGGACAATTAAGATGTTCGAGTCGAGAGACAGGAGGGCGGCCGGCGGCGAAGCGAATCCAAGCAAACTGCCGGCGCCCCCTGATCCGGAGGGGGTGGTGGTTGCGGGAGCGCTTGCTGACCTGAGGTTGAGAGGCGGGGTGCGGGCGCAGGTGCGAGGCGAGCGTGGCCATCCGCCTGGCCGCCGCCGCGTCGGGCCCTTGCTGCTGCTGCTGATCCATGGTTGCCTCCGGCTGTGGCCTGGCGTTGCAGAGACAAGAGTTGGAGGCTTCTTGGACTTGGAGTTGGAGGAAGCAGAGCAGGACAGGGAGGTAGGTCGTAGGTGTCGTTGCTTGATACTCTGCTAGTTCGGCGACATGGGGACGGACGATGCGTGCACGTTTCCAAGGGAAAGGATAGACCGTTGTGATGGGGGCATGGGCAGGAATGCGGCCGGGCACGGTGTGCGAACCCAGAGGTGCCGTGGATCACGACGATGACGATGACGATGAAGATGGGGAGTTATTGGAGCCTCTTTTTTCATGCTCTTTCGGGTGGACTAGAGAGAAAATACTAATAAGTGAATGAATTGGTGATGAATCATCGCGCGCACTTCTCTTTTTTGTCATTTTAAGAAATATATATGTTGGGTTATTTATTAATTGATCACCGTATCATTATATCATCATTAAAATTAACAAATAGAGTCATTCCACTAAAAATCATAGAGTCTGTCTCATGATAAAATAGTTTCATCTAAGATTCTGTTGCGGATTCAGGATTTAACCAGAGTATGTCGTCCAAAAATTTTCGTACAATTCGGTAACAGTTGTAAAATTTGAACATAATTTGGCATGTACAGTAACTCAATAAGTCTTAAAATTAAAGATAAGTTGAAAACATACACAATTGCAATATGAATAGATCAAACGCCATATTGATAGTTTAAAATATAGTCATAAAAGAGAGTAAGAAACTTACAATGGTAATTACATTACTTTTTCAGCGGACACTTTCTAAGGGACATTAATGTCTCGATTATATTATCTTCATTCACTTCAAAGAAAAATATCTCACTAAATGAACGTGACTAGACAATCATCCAAAAGGCCATCACCTATTTTATTCCTTAACTTTATTTTTACTAAAACTAGACAATGCCCCGTGCGTTGCTGCAAAATCTTGTAGCGTTATATAGAAATAAAACTTATGGAGGGAGCATATGTAGAGAAAAAAATGCCCCATAGTTTAATAATTTTTGCTTCATCATAATTAAATTGAAATCTTAAACTTGATAGGCAATCACCCATCTTCAATGACAGAGAAAGCTTGTCAAAACACCTATATCAATCAAACGGTCTCTCTTTGATAAAGAAATGTGCATAGAGAGAAGAGGAAACCATCCAAATACTCACGTGGAAGCTGTAGATAGCAATCCATTATTTGAATAAATAATGATGTAAAAACAAACCATTCTTTCCTTTGAAAAAAGGACGTGGGGGGAGTGGTGTACAAAAGTGAGCATTACTTGGGTTGTCACCTGGAGCTTATCAGGTAATACATGACTACATGGAGAACACACGTTGGAGAATTAGGTAATAAATAATATAATATATACAATGTCTGTTGGATTAGGAAAATCATCCACCTGATGATAGGAACGGATAGAATAAGAGGTAATACCTTCTTTCAATCAATTATCGGTAGAAACTTATGAACTTTTCCAAATTTTAGCTCCGTGCCCCCTCACGGACTCACCGTGGTATTTTGATCTCCTTCAATAATAATAATAACCTCAAGATTAGACCTGGGGGAGGACGAAAGCATACCAGGGATTCGAATCAGACCGTACTGGAATGAGAGAATTCCATAGATCCGATTTCCTTAGCTACCATTGAAAAACTTCATGTGTCGTCTGGACCATTAGTTCATTTTTTTACACCCGTGTAGACCACTGCCGTCATTTCCGTTAATGAGAAATAACGTTACTGTGGACGCCGATGTCAGGTTCTTGTGATAATGGCCATTGTACCCTTCTCTCTGTTGTCCTCCACCGTCGCCTCGCTTCCCCACCTCGCAGCCGCTGCGTGTCTCCTCGCCGAGCCCACCCCCGATTCCAGTTCCACCGCGGACGCTTTCGTCTCCCGGCCCCGGCTTCGCCTGGGGTCTGCGGCCTCCCGTGCCACCGTGCTGAGGAAGGAGCTGGCATGCTCGTTGGCGGCGCTGCCGGTGCCCTCCACGGCCGCGGCCGTCTTTGCAGTGGCTGTGCTGCTCAACTCCGCCGACGGCGGCGAGGACCTCCTCCTGGCCGTGGCTGCGTTGGCCACCTTCGCATCCTCGGACGTCGCGCGACTGTCCCTAACGCAGGAGGCCGGTGCCATGGTGCCCCATCTGTGCCGCTCACTCGAGTCCGGCGGCGCGGCCGCGGAGCACGTGTGCATGGCGCTGCTCCTGCTGAGGGTGACATCTCGGGACGCGTCCGCGGACGTGGCCGTGTGCGGCGGGGTGGTAGCGCTCCTGGCCGCCTGCGCCAGTGACACCCCGACGATCCAGGCCCCAGCAGCCGGGGTGCTCCGGAACCTCGCACGGGGTGGGGCGTGGGTCGACGTGGCGTCCCTGCCGCTCTACGGCCCGGAGCAGCAGCAGCACAAGGACGCCGCCGCCGAGCCGAGCGGAGGTCTGCGCGATGGCGGCGTTGAGCCCCCTGGCAAGGCCGTGCACGACACCGTAGCTGCGGTTGCCGAGCCCGATGCAGCCGAAGAGGAGCAGGCCGTGCTCGGCGCTCGTGCGCCGATCTCCTCCTGCTGCGGTGGCCCGCCGCGCCAACCCTCCCCTTCGCAGGCGCGGGAGAAGGAGAAGGTGACGGTGTGCTCTGCTTCGGCGCCTCGTCGACGGACTCTAGCTTTGGCACCGGCTCGTCGGCGGACTCCGGCTTCGGCACCAACTGCTGCAGGCGCGTGGGACGTGGACCGCCAGTGCGTGCGGAATGGGGACTGCGAGCGCGCTGTCCGGCACATGGAGCGGCTCCGGACGCGGCCGCACTCGTCCGTCGCCTCCTTCGCCTGCTCGAAGAAGATAGGATGAAGAAGAAAAGTTGACGCGTGGGGTCCAGTGGCGAAGCGTGGCCGAGGGGGCTGAATTGTTTACTTTAACATCAAATCATGGTGAAATGTTAAATAGACATGTAGTTTAGATTTCTAGGGATTTATGGGTCATTGAATTTTTGTCAAACAAGGAGGGGCATAGGCCCAGTTTGGCCTCCACTACCCTCCGCCCCTGGTGGGGTCCACCTATAAGAGGGGCAAAAGGGACATTTCAATCTCCTGTTAGCTGCTGTTACCAGAAAAGTTGACGGCAGTGGCCTTGAGGGGTTGAAAAAATTAAAGTGATGGTCGAGAGGAAAGATGAACTTTTTTGATGGCTGACGAGGAAGTTACATCTTTTACAGTGGCTCACAGAGAATGGTCTCTACTTGAATTGGGCTACTGCCTGCTTGTGGGCTTAAATAATTAGGTATCTACAGTGGGGGCATTTCATTTATCTTTTCCTTCTTGCCTACTGATGCCGTCCGCCTACGGTCCTACCCTGCTGGCCACGTTCGGTTATGCCGGAACGGGTCGTTCCTGGGGCAGAACATTTCCTGGCTAGTACAAATTTGAGTAGGAATTATGCGGCTGGGAATCGTTCTGATATAACCGAACAAAGCCTTAGTGGGGTCGAATCCTCATCCACCACACCCGTTGGTCAATGAAACAAACTGACGAAGACATGACACCATCGGATATGACCATTTATTATAAGATGAGCTCGTTCCTACATTTGCTTAGTGATTTTTTGTACAATTCACTTGGTTCAACATGTATATGTCATTATTTACTTGTAGGTATAAATGTGTCTCAAAGTGCAAGTCCATCAAAGTTGAACTTTCAGTTCACCGACGACCCGATAATACTTCATTGGGAAGGTCACAACTCATCCATCTAGAGTGCAATTGTGGTCAATGAGTACTTGATCGAAAGCTTGTTTGATAAGCTTTCAAATGGATCTGGTCTCATCTCAATATCACATCAGCAAGGCCACCAAATCATCAAGACATGCTATCGCTATTTCTGCCGGGAGCTACGTCGTCATCATGGGCTCGCTATTTACCCTTGGGACCCCAGCCCAAGTTGGAGCACGCCCCAAGGAGATGGAGAACACATAATCAAAGCCCTTCGACGTCCTCCCCGTTGGCCACCAACTTATGAGGCAAGCAAGGGCGTCCAAGCCAAGTTGGAGGCCCAAGCCAAGACAAGTTTGAGTCCATCACGGGTTTTAGGAGCAGCGTGTAGTAAAACGGACGTCCAGGTTGCATACGGACTCCGTTTTCAACGATCCATATATGGATAGAAAGATAATTTGATAAGGTGGAAGTAGTCCCACATAAAAAATCCATCTGAGTCGATGGGAATCGTCGAAACAAGTTGAAGTCTAAAATCTGTCAGGGTGCTTGTAACGTGTTGGGACACCTTTAGGATGTGAAGAGGGGTCCTTTGACGCCCCTTAGGCTATATAATCAGTAGCTGCCACCTACGTTAGGGTTTGGGGGTTTTGCTTTAGATCAATCTGTCATTGAACAGTCGCCATTATCGGTTTGTGAAATCCCACATTCGAGATCTTAATCATATATCTGTAATTGTCACTATACTTGAGTTGCGTGTTATCTTGTTCTTGCTTGTGTTCTTTGATTCGCAGCAGGGATTAGCCTTCTTAATGAGGTCAACCGGATTATGACACGGTTGATAACCAGAGGAGACGTGGTGTTAAGGTTGCAGGGTTCGGGTCTTTGTGATATGAAGTCGGATCGGTGTGTCGCTCTTCAACCAAATCGTTGTTTATTTTGAAACTGACGGAAGATCGGCAACCCCTTCCCATCAAGATCCTCCCCTTCTTGACAGCAAACCATCCTCAGTTTGAGCTTAGTTGAAGGACAAGTTATGGGTAGTAGCCAACATTGCACCCCTTCTTGTAATTTAACATGTTTCTTTATAACAAAACTAGGGGAGCTCGACATGATAGGATTATAGCAATTACAGTCCTTTGGTTGATCATATTTTTGCATAATATAAGCAGATTTTAGATTTGAACAAATATAGACACGATGCACCATATACTCCCATTACAATTATATTTGCCAATAAAGTGATATGTACATCTATACATCCATGGCAATTCATCGTATAAAAAGTTCTCCCTCAAACTA